AGCAGGAACATGTTGTTGTAGAACATTTTTCTAGTGAACTCTCAGCAATAATACCCCAGCTGCTCTTACTCGACAACACATTTTCACCTCTCACTTTACTACAAAGGCAAATTTTTATCAAATGCTCTTTATATTATGTTTCTAAGGTGCCAAGTAGGTCCTAAACTAATTTTGACAACCCTAGTAGAAGCATTAATGATTTAATAGGCAAATTATTATCAAATACTATTTTTATTATGTTTCTAAGGTGCAAAATAGGTCCAAAACTAATTCTGACAACCCTAGTAGAAGCATTAATGATTTAAAGGTTTCTGAAATAGAGATGTTTACATTTGTGTGTGTGTGTATATATATATATACACACAAACAGGTAATATTTAAAAAGGGCAAAATCTTCTCCAAGATATAAAGGGACTGAAAACTGGAAACACTGCAGTAGGTGATTTTAAACCAAAAATAAAATGACACATAATGCCAAGTCATCTGCTACAGAAAGAAAAATAATAGTTCTCACTTTATATTATTACTCAATCAAATAATAAACTAAAACTTAATACAGTTTTTCCATTTGCATTTTCCGTAGTAAGGGTACTTACCTAATACATAAGAAAAAAGGCAACATTTTTTACCAGGGAACCTACTCTCTTTGAAGACGCCTCAAATCAAGTCACTCATACAGCAAGCGCAGCTTATTCTTCAAAACAAATTATGCAAAGATAAACTGTTTCTATTTAAGTTATTTATTTCCTATGTATTCACTCATAACTGCTTAGTGGAGCACACAGGAAAAAAAGATTTCTCTATCAATCCTGTAATAACCGCGAGACCAAATGGAATTCCTTTTCTGCTTCATGCACAAATCAAGGCATTATTCTTCCTTCTTCAGGACCATCTGTGCAGCACCACTGACTTCAAATTATTCGTAGGCTCTAGGGCCAGAAGGGACCAGTATATCGTCGACATGATCTTTCAGACATCATAAGACATCCGAATTTCAGCAATTACTCAGAACTGAGCACAGTAACTTTTGTTCTCAGCAACATCTGTATAACTCTATTCAAGGGGGAACAGGGTTACACTAAGCTCCAGCTGAATGCTTCTTGCCTGTCAAACTACCCCTTTCCTACTTTCTCTCATTCCAGCCCAAATTAAATACTTGATTTTTAACAGACTTGTAAAGCTAGATGTTTTTAAAAATAAGATTTACAAACCACAGAAAGTTAATAAACTGATGAAATATATCGACTTCATGATTCTGACAATGCTAATCCTCTAAGTTACTCTTTTCAGAAATCTTATGAAAAAAGCAGCTCCATCAGTCCCTAGGATCATATACGGCTTACCTAAGGATTCGGAGGGAAAGAAAGTAGTTGATAGATGCAAGAAACAATTAATGATCCTGAAACCTAAAAAGCCAGATACCTGACATAATTTAGGAAAAAAAAAAAAACAAAACACCAAAAAAACCCCCAACAAACCCACAAACAGAAGAGCCAGAGGAGTTGCTGGGACCTCACTTCACCTTGGAGCAGAGAAGAGACTAAGAATTCTAATTAGGTAGAGATTACTACAACACCTGAATAAATATACTGGGATAGAACTAATATAGTATATTATGAGTAAAAATTCTGTTCACAGGGTTTGGGGGTTTTAAGAAAAAAATAATAAAAAATGGGCATAAATAAAAAAACAGATAATAACTAAAAATTGAAAATAGGGAAGCTCTACTAAAGACAACGGTTCAGAAAAAAAGCCTGTATACCTTAAGATGTTTGGATGTGAGAGTCTATTCATAAGTTGAACCTCTTTCAGCATGTTTGCTCTGTTGCTGTTCAGCTTGTTCATCTTCAAAGCCATTATCTGGTCTGAAGTTCTGTGCCTTACCTATAGGACAGAAGCAAGAAATGGTACGGATATGAAATGTAAGACAAGGCACAGCACCATTGCAGCACAACTTAGAGATCCTTCATGATAAACGACTCGATCTATACTCTGATTTCTGTAGTTTTTATCATACAGACCTTCTATAAGCATACAATCCAACTGGTGATGACAGAAAGCTTGAGAAGTTTTGGGAAAAAAAAATGCAGTTAGTTTCCTTATACAAGTGAGGAAAGCCACTGACTTGTCCAGGGAGAGGAAGCTTCCTACTGCAAGATCTACAAAACTCACCTTCATTCCACTCATGTTCCTATTGTTTTCCCATTCCAGTGGTTGCTGTTATTGTTCCACAGGATGTGTTGTGAGAGGATCTGCTGGTTACAGCTACAGGGCAGATTTCAGAGGCATTGAGCGTTTATTCCTGAACCAAGACCATGAACCAGATGATACATTCGGTGGACAGAAAGCATTCACACCAACCCCTGCTGCAAAGCAGAGAGGTTATGGATATAGCACCACAGAGTCTAGAAGGTTAGTAGTGGCTGCAGAGCACCAGCATGAAAAAGAGGATTTTTCTAGAAAATGTGCAGAACCAGCACACCATTCAGAGTCACCTTCCCCAGCTAGAAATGCTTGAATGCGGCCATTTCTAACCTGATACTCTCCAACAGCCTATTTGTCAGCAACCAGACCAGAATTACGTAGACATGTGGTACTATTAGAAAGAAGTTATCAAGATAGTGTAAAGCTTGTTAATCCTTTGGATTTCCCCACCGTTGGGCATTCCCACATGCACACTGGCAGTCTTCAAAGAAATTGTGTTCTGATTATTTTCCTCCTACATCAGTACCAGCAGCTCATATACAGAAAATATGTATTTCTGAAAGCACTCAACTACCACCACAGCAAATTCATTCATGCTTATGGAGATTAGTTTAAAAAAGTCTGTGATGCCAGAATTTAAGACTCTCAGCAGCTTTCCAATTAAAACCAGAAATCTATATTATTATGTAGGTACCTATAATCTACCTACATTTTAAAGAATGGCAGCCTGCGTCCTTTTATTCTGGCAGACTCTGCTTGCAATCTTTTCCAATAAAACAATTCTTTGGCTGTGATACATCAGTTACAGAAAGAATAGCTGAACTCATGATAAGTAGATGCAAGAAGAAAGCTGGGTATGTTTTTTTTGGAAGTGAAGCTCCCTGGTAGGTCCGAGGCAGCAAATGACGCTCATTTTTCAAGTTTTATTTACACACCATACTGGCAAGAACAAGGGGAGTATTTCAGCTAAACGCGCTCACCTAGACACAAAACATTATGAATTCAGCACGGGGATGTACTAGGAGGAAAGGGTGTTACGTTTCAGATGTGTGTCTTCCGTAACGCTAACGAATTGCCTATTCCCGCCCTAGTCTGAAGTATAGGGTAGCATTGGAAAGATCACAGTTAAGTGTGGTAAGCAACACTGAGGTACTGGGTGAGTAGAAAAAATAGCCCACAGACCTTTTTCTCCTGCTTTTTCCCCTGCCCGTGCACATAAGCTCTTCAGATGCCTCACCCACAGTCACCCAGTAATCCCAGTGCAAGAAGGATAAGAGAAAGAACGTGGAGAAGGACACAGAAACTAGCACCGAGAGCAGAAACCAACAGCAAGGTCATAAGCACGGGACTCCTCCTTTCAGTGGCAATGCTGGATTTAAAATAAAACTGGTTGAACTACAGCTTTAGTGCACTATAACGAGATAATCTAGAATCCTTCTGCACACAACCTGTCTTGCCTGTTTGGCAAGCTTATTGGTTTTAAGTGGGATGATTGCACGTTAAGTTGATGAGGTTTATTGTTACTTGTCAGGTTTCTTGTGTCTATTGTATGCTTTCATTAATTTTTAATGTTAAGCAGCTTTTGCATACCCAGTCAATTTTGAATGAACAAGCTAAGCTGGACAGGTCAGCATCTATATCCAGACTTTAAAAACATATTTTAATAATGCATTAGTTTTATTAGTAGTAAGGCTTCGGCTAAGGAATAAAAAAAAATTAAAAATGCTTTCACAGATTTAAGAAAGGAAGACATTCCAACAATGCAAATTCAATTTAAGAGGACAAATTAAAAGCTTTGAAGCTATACACAGCAGCAGAAGGTTTCATAGTCTTGGGTGCTGTGGCAGAGTAATTTGGAGTTTGCAGGGAATGGGAAAGAATTTGAAGGAACTTAACTCCTACAACAGAACTTCCTCAGAAATCGGGTTTTCACTAGCACAGAAGCTTCAAGGTATGCCAAAAGGAAATAAACAGAGGTAGAAGGTAAGCAAGAATTCAGATAGAGTGTGGTCTTAAACAGTATTTGCCTTCTTATTAACTCTGCTAGCTACCTCTTAATTTTCTGTCCATTTTTGTAATTTGCTCAGTTCCATGCCAAAATTTAAAGTCCTTTTGCCTCAGCTCTGAGGTAAAAGTAGAATTTATCATAGGACCTTTTTCCTTGTCTTTTGTCTCTTTTTCCTTGTCTTTTGTCTCTTTTTCCTTGTCTTTTGTCTCTTCTTGGTTCCGACCACTCTTCTTGAGCTAGGGACCTCAGAAAAGAAGGTGGGTCAGGTTTTGGAGCACCGTGTCCTGCATGCTTCCTGGGTTTTCAGGTCTGATACACTAGAGGAAGCCGTTAGCAACTGCTTCTCAAAGGTCCAGCGGTCCACAGTAATAACTCCATATTCAGAGAACACTGAACTGCTTTTGCAAAGACAGATTTTGTCATTCTCTATTTCAGAGAATATTCTGCAGTTTTTTCAGTCTTGAAAAACTGAACAAGCTTCTGTAGTAAGGCTGGGGGAGGGGAGGTCCTTTCATTTGTTTTATAAAATTATTCTACGCATGCTTGGAAATAGCTCAGATTTCTAGCATATACAGCATATTCTGTCCGTATAACTGCACTCTAAACAGCACTCAACACTGTGCTGTGCTTTGTTTCACCTAAAGGGACACTGTAAGGTAACATCAGCAATTTTATTTCAACTGGAGGATGTATTCCTGTCCAATCTGATAGAACACCAAATTACCTAATCAAACCAAAGAAGAGGTGGGAAAACTTTTGCTAGCTACCCTTTAAGCAAGGACGAATAAGCAGAACTGGAGGTGGGAGGGCATCTTATCAAGAGGACAATATCCAGTGTTATGAATAAAATCAAATATCAGTTTATATGTTATGGAACACAATGCTACTCACTTGGAATATACATAAGGGTAATCGTGTTCTCTCCTCTGAAACACTGCTGCCAAAAAGCCCTTCTGTGGCAAGAATGAACTGCCAACAGAAAACAGACAGGTCCTATCTTCAAGGTCTCAGTCAAGCTCTGGATCATCAAGGTAGAAAGAGCTATCGGTGCCTACTTACCTGTTAGTCATACCATAAACAAAATTTGGATCTATTTTAGTATCCCTTGTCAAAATCACATCAAAGTGTCTAGGTTTAACCCTTCATCTCCTTTCAGGCCACCTCTGTGCAATGAAAACACGGAGGTGATGTTTTGACCACCTTTTGGAAAGGTTGCTGCTCCAATTTAACATTTGTTTACAAGGCGGTTTGCCTCAGGCATACGCTCATGCACTCAACATAAACAGGGACTCACTCATGCGATTCAAACCCTTCACTGATGTAACTTGCAGATTGCTGTAAAGCTTTTAACGCTGTTGACATTATTATTAATTAAGGTTCCGTGCATATCAGAGCAAGTAACCTTTCAGTGATGTCTGGACGATCATGTGGCTGCTTAGAAATATTTTGACAATCCTACAGCTGCTCTCCCATGCTGCTTTGCACGTGCTGCTGACTTCTCAGTCTGCTTACCTGTGTGTTTCCATCTCCGAGGTCACAGTAACCAGATACTGCCTCCCTGTTTCATTGCTGGCAGCAGTTCAATCGCCCCTTTGCACTCCGATTCTTCTCGGATCAGAGTACTTTGACCTGGCAATGGCTAGTGGCACAGCCTGCCTGCTCACTGTGTCTCCAAACTGTGTTCTAATCCTGGACCTTACCCCTTCCTTTAATGGCAAGTGAGAAATCGAGGGAGTCATGGATTTCGAAATAGTAATATGTCTGAGAAAAATCTCATAATAGAGATTGAGCGGGGTTCACATTCAATATAACCGTTGTACCAGGTTCACACAAGGAGTATTTGCAAAATTTGGTGGGTTTAATTTTCAGCTTGCTGCTTCACTGCAAAGTACTTTACTATTTAAAAAAACCCCAAACTAAATACATTATTTATTAAGCCATACAGATATGTGAGGGCTTTCTGAAAATCCAAATATTTATATTACTTCCACTTTTTGCCTGGACTGAAGGGGAAAAGCATTTAAGCAACAGCTGAATTTTAGCCTAACTTCATCTTTCACAAGGCTTTTTTGACTGTTCTTTTCCACGTGGTCTTGGAATAAGCGCCCGAAGAACATTCCCTAATGCAGATCTTATAAATCTGCCAATACAGCTTTCAGTTTTGCCCCTATTTTTTCACTGCAGTTTCATTATTTTCCAAATCATAATTACATAGCTGGAAGTATTTTGTCACTATTCTCTTCCAAAACTGCATTTAATTGCTTTCCACTTTTCCCTTACCTTCCCCTCTTCCAGTATCTAGCCTCACCGCTTAATTACATTTACAGATCTTTACTTTTACAGCCTACTACATAAAATCATGTGGCCATTCTAGCTCTAGCACACACACCAATTCTTTCTTCATTCTTCTACTCGCCTAAGTCTTCATCTGGCCATTTCATCTTTCCTGTCCTGTGTCCAAAGTACCATTTTAAAAGGAGTCCTCTCTAATCCAAACATACGGCCTTCCCCAAGTTTGCTTCTGGTTTCTGAGCTCACTGTACTATCCACAAGAATGCTGCACATATTTTTACACTGGCTCACCAACCTTACACTTACAAATTCAAATATTTCCTCCGCATTCAGCCTGCACCCTTCATGTTAGTGAAATAAGAGCAAATGTCAAACGGCT